TACGACTAAAGATGAGGCTACGACAATCAGGTTATTACTTCTCCATCCAAAGGAGTGTCACATGTCACACACACATATATCCTTTGACCTTCATCCTGTTCTGAACAGTAGTCTCTTCTCCTACTGCACTGAAAGCTGAACTTTTGACACAAATCTTGTTTAAACTTTCGGAAGCCCCACATTTCATTCGCAGATCCCTAGGTTCTATTTTTTTTCTGCCAGAGAATCTGATGATATCCAGGTACGACTTTCCTTGAAGAGAAGCTATGGTGCCTCAGCTAGTTTAGCTGATATGCTTGCTTAAGTGTTTGGCAGTTTTCACGTCACTGTTTTCCAGGACAGACAGAACTAGCCAGTTTTTCGGTTTCCAAGACCCTTTGATATGCTCATTAGAAGAGACTACACTTACATCAATTAACCTTCGAAGTAACAACTTGTTTTGTTTTAAAATGTGAAGGCAGTTTATAGACACAGACAAAGCTCCTTTATATCCTTATCTTTATTTCAACAATTTTCTACAATAGCTAGGAGAATACAGCACTAATGACAGATACACAGTAAGCACATTAGACAGCTACAAATTTAGAGCATAAAATGTCATTCTGATATTGTTTTGGCTTTCCTTTTAGCATTAGGTGATATCCAGTGAAAAACTCATGTTTCCAAGGCTTTCGTTGATATGAGGTGAATCTTTAACATTCTAGAAGATTTCCTGTGTGATACTCTGAAGAGGGTTCAGTTCAGATTGGGAAAGGCCTGGTGGCACCTCTCACCTTTCAGCATTTCTGCTTTCTTACTTAACCACTTTGCACAGATTAACTGTGTAGATCAAGAAAGTTCCTTCTCCAGATCCAGGGAAGAAAAAGATTTGTAAACTGCAATGCTGCATTTCACTGTATTTCAAAGGCAGGTCTTTTTCACAATAAGTTATAAACAGTTAAAATAAAAACACAGTATGTTAAATGCCATGAACTCATCTGTGTAATACTGCTGGAACAACTGAAAATTTCCAAGAACACAAGAAAATCAGTATTTCCTCAGGAACCCAAAGAAGAACATAATCAGGGATCATAAATCACAACACATACTCACACTTAAAGGAGAAATCACTTGTAGGAAAAAATAACAGCTCACATGACTTAGAGAAGCTAAGATTTTATAACACGTAACAACAATACATCAGTAGAAACCACTGACTCTGGAAAACGCATGGGAACGCATTAACTTTCCAAGCATTAAATTATACACGACAATTTCAACCTTAAAAAACAAACCTAAAACTTTCCCAAATATTCCAAACAATATCATGGTGCCAAGGAAATGTTAGTTGTCTTCAGATATGTTATGAGTCTAATTCTACCCATTAAATTAAGCTAGTGAACGTTTTTTTTTTTTTAGGTAGACCAAATTATATAAAAAAAAATTATAAAATGCATTTGGGAGATGTTTGACATGGCATCTTTCAGTTTTGATCTATCGAGAAACTGATTATAATTTTAAAGTTAGTTTAGGTACTATAATGGGTTAGAACTTAATACAGCTATTTTCCTGTTTTTACTCAGCCTTTTACAGTAGAGCACCTTTACATTTTAAAAGGATGTCCATACAAAGTTTTTAGAGTTGTATTTTTGCCTTTATTAGAAAGCATCAGTGAAAGGCAAGACACCTGTGGATATTCTGACTTCTGTCCTGCTTCCATGCATGCTCTTCGCTTACTGTCACAGGGAGCTGCTCTAACCCAGAAATATTCTAAAAGCTAGTGCTTCATCGGTTGCTTTTATAGATGTTAATCTCCATTTGGAAATGACAGTACAGAGGTGGCAGGAGATGCAGGAAAGGGAGAAAGGAATCAGTGGTCGGAAGCCACACCCAATCCAAATCCTTACGAAACCTCGAGAAACATGGCAGAATATCCTTCACTGAGGACAAGTTCTGGGGAACTTAAGGCAGCTCTAAAAGGGAAGGGGCAAGGGTTAAGGCGGCCCTCACAGCACAGCCTGAGAACAAATTACAAAGCACTTGCCACAAAATGCTTGTGGCCTCAAGCATGCATGCCCACAGCACAGCGCCTAACTCCCCTCCTGTGGCATGCTGTGGCACTTCCAAGCATACACGACTCACCTACAGCAAACAGCCCCAGGGAGGGAGGTGCTCACTGTCCTGGGTTCCCCTGGGCAGCAGAGCATACCTAGAATAGAGCTCTCTGTGGGCTGTGCACCTTAGCTGGCGGCTCCCGCAGGGAAACCTCAGGGGTGTGGAGAGTGGCCTGCCTTGCCTCTTCACGTCTGAGGTTTTCACTGCCTCCTGACCATTTAGCTCAGACAGCCCCTAACTTGAGAGTCCCCTGTCGGGGAACACTAGCTCCCGACAACAGGCGAGCCTCGTCACAGCTGGCGCTGTAAGCACTGTGCCCTGGCCGCCCGGCAATTGAGTTGGTGCTCTTCATTGGTCTGTTTCCACATGCCAGTAAAGACGAAGAGCACCCCTACCAGCCCAGGGCACTCCACAGCATCAGGAGGGACAGGGAGGCCTCCGCCCTCACTGCCAGAGGGCAGCGGCAGCCGCAGCTAGTCCAAATTCCCATCCGCAGAGACTGTGGGAGCGGTCTCCTGTGGCTGTGAGGAAGTGAGGTAACAGAGGAAGAGTGCTGGCGAGAAGCACATGCACACGGGTGCTGTTTCTGCACTACTTTCCACAGGACCATGCAGCGTCACACACGGACATTTGCTCTCCCTCCTGCCAGGCTGCTGTCACCCAGAGGACCCTTGACTATGCCTCCTGAAGAACTCTCAACTGGTGACTGTGAGTGTGAGAGGGGGCACTCTGTGGGCTTCTCAGGATGGCAGTAGCTCTTTTCCTAGAATTGTCGGAAAAGTGATTTCTCACAATAATCAAGACACCGACACCCCAAGTATTGTGACAGCTCCTGTATGCACTACTGAATAAGCGTATCACACACACTTGCTCACAAGGAATCTTTATCTACTGAAATGGACCAGTAACAAAGCAAGTCATCTGAACTGGCACAGATCTAAATCTCCTACCACTCGGCTTTGGACTATCATCTGTACCTTTGCTTTCCAAAGCTGTGCCAGGTAATATGCAATGTTCAAAGCTTCCAAAGGAACCATTTTGTTTCCTGTTTGTCTTTCCCCATTTTGAGTTACTCCAAGGCAGACTCAAGCCTTGGGCTAAGAAACGCTGCAGGAAGGGTAGGGATCACTTTGGACCCCAAGGGAGGGAGCTGCATTTGCAGCAGGAGCAGCGGTGGCTACTGGGCAAGGGCTGCTGCAGGGAAGAGCTGCCCTGGTGTCTTTCAGGAGCTCCTTCTTTGTGGTACAAGCACATCACACTGGAGTTATGGACAAGCCAATTAGTGATCAGGTTAAGGGCTACAGAAGTGAGAACAGCGAGGGTATGTGCACAGACACCAAAAGACGAGTCCCATGCATGCCAGCTAGGGTCACAGAAAACCATTCCGCTGATAGGATTAGGTCGAGGGACGTGGGGAGGTGGGACAGGCAAGGGAAAGGTGAGTATGTGTCTGAGGCTGGGGGAGAGAGCATGGATGAGAGTGGAGGCCAGCGGTCCTTCCTCAGCCTAACGGACACCTGGTGAGCAGAAACCTGAGCCACCTTAACAAGGCAGTGCACACGCTCACTTACCAGGTCTTGAGGTTCCCTGGTTATAAGGTATTCTTCTGAGGACTAAAACTCAGATCCCCATCTGAGGTTCTGAAGAGGCTTGAAAGAGTTGAAGCTTGGAGTTATAGAGAGACTGAGCCATTGTCACTGAAACAGGAGAAACCAAAGTGGGAAAAGCTATGGAACTGGAGCTCCAGCTCTGGACAGCAGAGAAAAATAATGAGAAAAAGTGCTGGATAGAAACTGCAGGACACAAATGCCTGAAGTAGGAAAAAAGGTTTCAGGGACAGCATGATCTTGAAGACAAGACTCAGGGTGTGCGACAGTCGTCCTACTCAGGACTAAGCTGGGAGCAGGGTGTGGGAGGCCTGCCAGGGCTGAGGGGAAGGCGGCCTACACATGACCGTTTGCCTAGCAACTCTTTCACCCGCCACCCCTCTATGCTTTCTGACACACTCAGTACTAATGAAATGGCTTCAAGCACTAACTGTTCACTGAAACAATACTGAAAACCCAGGAAAGTTGAAGCTGGCTGAATTAGTGTTTGACGATTCCGCAAATAAATAAATGTATTAGAACTGAATAAAGGTTGAGACTGTAGCTCAGTGATAGAGTACTTATTTAACACACAAGAGGCCCTGGGTTCAATTCCCAGCCCTAAAAAAAAAAAAAAAAAAAAAAAAAAAAAACTCCCAAACAAAAAACAGTTCATCACATAACAAAAATTACTTAAACTAAGTAACTTTCAAATAAAACAAATATATTAGGATATTCTAAACTACCTAAATGATGCACATTAAGAAAAGGTTGTGGCTACACAAAGTTGTGATTTACTGTATCAACCCTAGGGAACTGACAGGCACTAAACACTGGGCTTTCAGCAGGATGGACTAACTGGCCCCTTCCTCTAGGAACCAAGCATGAGGGAGCTGTAAATGAGGAAGTGGCTGGAACGACCAGGTGTCCAACCCTCTTACTTTGTAAACAAGGACATTCAGTCTCCAGGAAGAAAATGAACAATAATTGCTGTTTAATAACAGTACTTATCTCTGACTTGAAACTGTTTAGCTCTCATCAATAATATTGCACATACTTAAATGTCACTGTTATAGACCATCTTACAGGTTAAGTTATACAAATTGATGACTGTAATTAAGAACCAGAGGAATGAAAGCTAAAAATTTGCTCTTATTTATTCAACCTGAAGGATTTATTATATAAGATTTCCAGAAAAAATTGGAGAATATACTTAATTAGAATTTCATAATGAAAACTTACAGAATCTGGGTCTTACTGAACCAAATCCTCTATAAAATTTAATAATCTTTTTATATTTCTTACATAAATCTTCTTAATGTATTTATAATATGATGTTTTTAAAGTATCCAGTGGTATCTGAGAAAATTTATAGAGGTTTCAACACCCAAACCCCCTGAATTACAATGATTTATTATATGCCTTTTAAAATAACTTACAGGATAATCAAAGTTTCGAGGTCTGAGTTATAAATACTCTGATAGTCCTTTCTAGATAGTGACTGAGGCTAACTAACACGTAATAAATTACAAAGAAAATTGGTCAAGGTTGAACATATGCATGGCAAGAATCAGATCTGGGAACTAAAAATAATAAGTTTACAGAACACTATCCCATGACGCAACATTCACACAGATGGAATTAACTAGCATATCGAGCAATACATCCTGGTCAGCAATGACATAAACAGCCACTCTGTCTAGCTCTACACCTAACACCAAGCGTCTTGTCCTATTACTGCACAACTCTTCCAGTGTCTGCTACTTCTGCAGATGAGCCTGTGGATAATTGCATATAATCCAGTTAGAACTAATCTGGTTGAATCGTAAACAGAGAGGATAAAACAGAAGCTTATTATGTGGTGCCTAGTAAGACTATCACATCAGGAGACACCATGTAGCAGCAATTTAAGATGCTCAGTAAGCTACAGTACAAAAGGGCATCTATGCTATCTAGCAAACCAGCATCTTTCATATCGCTGTGCCATAGTGACACAAATAAGGAAGTTACTTGGCCAGTTACTTTACATATTGCCAGTTTATTTTTTTGATCCAGTTTGACAATATCAACATGATTGGCTCCTAAGCTGATATGATATGTATTCAGTGGTGATTTTTCTTTCAGTTCTTTGTGCCTTGTTAACAACAGTTCATACGTATGGAATTGTATTTCTATATGCCACTTAAATGCAGCACTAAAGATGTAAAATAAATGCTGTCAGCTGAAGACACACACTTTTTGCCCTTCCTTTCATTCCTCCCTGCCATCATTCAGCTGTATGTAAATTCAGGATTCCCAACTGATCAATGAATGTTGATTTAAGGTAACACAACGTAAGGAGTCTCTTCCCAAGCAAAAGGATTCTAGGGAGATTTCCAGTTAATGACATCTTCTTTTAAAGACAATCAGTACTTCTTTAAAAATGTATTTTCAGTAGCTCTCTGGAAATTGTTCAAATTCAGAAGAGAAATGCATTTTCTACGTATGCCCGGACAGCACTTTAAACCCGTGCAATGAAGCCCAGGCCAAGGCTGGCTGGGATCTGGATGGTTTCTAGGGCCAGGGAGGATGGGTTAAAGGGAAAAGTGACAGGAAAGATGTGTTTAGCATCCATGAGTAGCTGCGGAGAGTCTTTTCTGTCTCGTAATCGCATCTGAGAAGATTAAGAAAAAAAGACAAACAGGGTATCAGTCCTAATTTGTAAGATATTTTTCTACCAAAATTTCTATAAAAAAACTTTAATTAGAATTGTTGAAAAATCTGTGCACAGGGGTCTTTTCTGAGATTGATACTCCAACCAAGAACCATGCATGGAGATAACCTAGAACCCCTGCACAGATGTAGTTCATGGCATCTCAGTCTCCAAGTGGGTTTCCTAGTAAGGGGAACAGGGGCTGTCTGTGACATGAACTGATTGGCCTCCTCTTTGACCACACCCCCTGAGTGGGGAGCAGCCTTACCAGGCCACAGAGGAAGATAATGCAGCCAGCCTTGATGAGATCTGATAGGCTAGGGTCAGATGGGAGGGGAGAAAGACCTCCCCTATCAGTGGACTGGGGAAGGGGCATGGGAGGAGAAGAGGGAGGGAGGATAGAATTGGGAGGGGATGAGGGAGGGGCTACAGCTGGAATACAAAGTAAATAAATTGTAATAAATAAAGAATTAAAAAACGTTTAAAAATATTTATAGACTGTAAACTTATATTAAAAAGTTAATGCGCTGCAAAATAAGTAAAATGGAAAAGTAAAAGATAAAAACACATTATCCCTTCCCAGAGACTCATACTCCAACCAAGGACTATCCATGGAGATAACCTAGAACCCTGACAATGCAGCCACTTCTGATGAGAACTGATAGACTAAGATCAGAAAGAAGGAGAGGAGGACCTCCCCTATCAGTGGACTTGGGGAGGGGCATGCATGCGGAAAGTGGGGGGAGGGTGGGATTGGGAGGGGAGGAGGGAGGGACTTATGGGGGGATTCAAAATGAATAAAGTGTAATTAATAAAAGTTAAATAAAAAATTAAAAAAAAACACATTATCCTTCCAAAACATTGTGAATATTCCATTCAAATGACCATGTGATAAATAAGTAAGAAAGAAAAAAGTGTCTTACCTGTATAGTGCGGATAAATGAAACAGAGACCCTTTCTTCAAACTCATTGACGGGTGTGTACAGATTCAACACCTTGACGATCTGGAGAGATAAAGGGTAAAGTTTTTGGAATATTCCACACACAGGCTGGCTCTTCATGATCTGGTGAATGGGAAGGACCTGTGTACTCCCTTTCAGTTCCACCTGGGGTGGGCTGGGAGAGAGGGAAGTAGAAACACAAAGGGCTCGCTTGCCTTTGTGTTTTACATTTTAGAAGAAGAATGGAGTCATATAACAACAAGAAAAAAAAATTAGAAAAACATCCAAACAGTACAAATCATAACATGGAAAAATAGTGCCCCTAATTTTATTTTCTCCCTCTCCTAAAGCGACAATGGCTAACCACATCCTGGACCACCACTGAGCTACTTTCTACACAGTCTGGCTTATGCTATTTTTATACATATGAAATGAATTCTGTTAATACTATTCTGTAACTTGCTGTCTTCACATCAAAGTACATATAGCCCTATTACAAGTAACAGGATTAAATATTTTTCTTTTTAAACAATCCTAAAAATTAATATGTTTAAAAAGAAAGTTAGTATAATGAATAACACAAAAAACAAAGTCTTTAAAGAAATTTAACCAAGGGCTAGAGAGAAGGCTCAGTGGTGAAGGGCACTGACTGCTCTTCCAGAGGACCTGGGTTCAAATCACAGTGCCTACACAGACCTACAACTGTCTGTGTAACTCCAAGATCTGACACTCTCACATAGACATACATGCAGGCAAAAAACCTGCACACAAAATAAAGGTAAATAAATTACAAAAGTTTAATCAACAAGTTAAGAAGTAAATTTAAAATGGTCTTAAAATAAAAAAAATGGTCATTTCTCTTTTTATTTTATGGTACTGGAGGCTTTGAGACAGGTTTTCTGGCCTGCAACTCACTATGTAGCCCAGGTTAGCCTCAAGAACATCATTGCTTATTTAAGGTAGAAAGTGATTTCCGTCCTTAATGAACTGTTTTTTCTTTGTTTGTTTGTTTTGAGATATGGTTTTCCTATGCAGCCTCTCTTCCAAGTTATTGTTTAAAGCTGTGCTAACACACTTGCTATCACAGTAGTGTGTGGTTATTTATGTAAGTTAAACAGAAATCCTCATACAGGACAATGTCAGTCCATATGCAGAGGAAGGTAGGCACCAGAGCGACATGGATAAAAGGCAGGAATACCGACCAGTCTGCGATTGGCACACTCGACTCGGGAATCAGCCATTCAGAGGCAAGGGTTAGAACTGCACAAAGAAGCACTGCTCATGGAAACTTAAGTAAATAAAAAACAAAGCACAGGTCCAGCTAACTCATGGGGGGCATGTGCTAAAGTTGAAATAGTAAGTGCTAGAGCACATTCTTTAGAAGCTGGAGGACAACATCTGTAAGTTGGGTTTGCCCACTATTACTTTCCATTGGCAGAAATGGAGGAGTTCTCAAGACCATCACTAGTACCGAAATTTTCCACACACAGGTAAGTTTACAGCAACAATTTCTATAAACACGAGTTCCACACTAAGAAGCTTCCGACTGTGGTTCCAGCCATTTTCCCTGAGTGAAGTGAACCACACTAGCCCTAGGTGAAGAGCTGAGCATCAGGAAGATGAAGACTCAGTGCTGCAAAGAACCAACCAGCTGCTGTTTCCACTAATCCCATTCCTGTCCTGTCCCCTTCCTTAAGTTCAAGGCTGCTGAGTGATACTTCTCAGAACAGCCTGTCATCACCCCCAGTGATTTTTGTAAAGCATTAAGAACAGAATTTTTCTATGATTTTTTTTATACTGTCATGCACTTCTATTTCCCTACAGATTTGTAAGCTCATGAGGGTGGAGATTTTTCATTATTAATTAAAGAATTTAGCTCCACAAGTATGATACTGTGCGATGAAAATTAATCATTTCAAGACCTGAGAGAGTACAAATTACTTTGTGTCTGTGTGTACATGTGTGGACAGTGGTAGAGCATATATGTGGATGTCAGAGTACAAGCTGTGAGAGTTGGTTCTCTGGTTCTCTCCTTCTATCATGCAGATCTCAGGGATCAAGCTAAGGTTGTCAGGCTTGGCTCTAAGTGCCTTTACTACCTGAGCCACCTTGCTAGCCCAAAACAGAACAATCTAAAGAACCAGTAATCAAGTCTGGGATGGTGGCACACACCTTTAATCCCAGAACTCAGGGAGGCAGAGGCAGGCAGATCACTGTGAGTTCCAGGCCAGCCTGGTCTACAAAGTAAGTCCAGGATAGCCAAGGCTACATAGAGAAACCCTGTCTCGAAAAACCAAACGAAAAAAAATTAATACCATAGAAATAACTTCATGGAATTGGAGCTCCACAGAATACACGCTCCATGAGAGCAGGGACTTTGTTCTATTTCAGGTTGTACTGCAGGGTCTAGAACATTATATAGGGGACCGCTTCCTCTTTGCTGAATATTCTACAGATGACTATGAGTAGAACTTAAATGTGAATTGATAGTAAAATTTCCTCTTTTAGATTTACATAGACATGGATCTTCTCTGTCAAGGGAGGAGGTCAATGTGGAGAGAAGAGTGATGGCCAGGCCTGACTTCTCGGAGCTGCCCTGTGATGGCAACTATGGTGTGCCGCCCTTGGAGGGCTGCAGTACCTGGGCAGTGGTCAGGGCATTGCACATGGAGCATATGGCTTCTGCATCATCATCAGTTTTCTTCTTCACTTGCAAAAGCTGAGCGGCCTGAATAAGAGGCTCCAGTGTCTCTTTGGCCCCACTGTTCATCAGATTCTTGTCACGCAGCCATTCCTCCAGTTGACTGACATTGTACCTATGCCAAAAATAAAAAGAGAATGTGTAAGAGAAAAATAGGAGAGAAAATGCAAATTTGCTGAATGCTGTCATAAATGTCTTAATTTTGTGTATGTAGCCTTGTCAGTTAAAGTGACAGGTAGTATTTTTGTTAAATTTTCTAAAATCTAATCATCTGTGCTTTAACATTTATCATTATAAAGTCATGAGGCTCATAATCATAATTATGTAAGGCTGAATGACAAGAGACTGCAACTCCTTATTGGAAGATGGAAACAAAGCCCTCAGAGGAAAAGTTCTTAGACTTTCTAATAAACAAAACTGAATAGATCATATGACTCTGTCCTTATTAGACAGCTGACTGGAATGTGCTTCTGGCTTCCGCAACTTCAGACACAGCTCCGTCTGCAGAACAAACCTCTTCATGTACTCTGTCTTCCTTAAGAAGACTCCAAATTGGGGTGATTGAATAACCAGATGACCTAACATATGCCTCACGCTCAAGCTTCTGTAGAGATAGAAGAAAAGAAGGAAGGGCAAGGGAAAAGCCCTTGGAAGAGACAAAGACCAAACTGGAGAGACAAGGAAATGACACAGATGCTAGGATTTTAAGAGATGCCCAGCTATCTGACAGGAGATTTCAAACTATAGTTGAGGCAGGTGGACACGCAGTCTGAGTCCAGTCATCAGACAGATGGAGGTCTTATGATTTTAAGATGAGTGACTTCAGCTGGGTGTAGTGGCACACATCTGTAATCCCAGTACTTGGGAGGTAGAGGCAGGAAGATCGGGAGTTCAAAGTTATCAATGGCGACACTGTGAGTTTGAATCTGGCTACATGAGACCCTGTCTTTAAAAAAAAAAAAAAA